CCCGGGTCCTCCCTCTTCCCCTTCTTGAAGATGGGGACCACATTTGCTACCTTCCAATCATCTGGCACCTGGCCCAAGCACCACGATCGCTCATAGAGCCGTGCCAGGGGCCCTGCAATAACCCCAGCTAGCTCCCTCAACACCCTGGGGTGGAGATCATCTGGACCCGCTGACTTGAACGCGTCCAGCCCCTCCAGAAGCTCTCTAACCCGGTCTTCCCCAACCTGAGGTCTGAAGGCGATCCCCTCAAGTCCGGCTTCTATCATGAGGTTTCCTGGAGAGAAACTAGCTTTTCCAAATGCACAAAACCCTGGGCTAATGGGGTGAATGAATGGCAAACATGAAGAACAGTAGTGGCTAATAGGGAAGTACATTAATTATAAATCATCTTGTATCCTTAAGTGTCTAATGCTACCAATTGGAAAGGTGAAAGATCTTAAGATGACAATTTTTAAGCGAGATTTTCATGATACGGTTTTCCATGTTTCACTTAAAATATTTTAACACCTCTGCTGCATAACTGAACTAGACAGCTGTCAGTGGTGAGATGTATGCAGCAAAAGGCGAGAGAAATTCTGGTTAAGATGAGAGCATGTCTCTTGTAAAAGAGTTTTATTCATCAACATCCATACACAGCAGACAGGATCTAGATTTTAAAGATTCTGGCCAAAAATGCAGCCTTTTCATACAATATTTCTCTTGGAAGATGGTATAGGAATGATCTTCTCTGGATTTTGAAATGTGGTCCTCATTTACAGTGATGCTGTGCAGTCCATGGTGAACAATGAAATATGTTTATGCCTACCTACCCTCTCTCCTTGTATAGGTACTCAACAGAAGGGCTGAAAAATGGGAGGGAGATACTGGAAAGAGGAGGTCTTTGGGAAACCACAGTGAACCTCTGCTCTCAGAGATTGAAAGACAGGGTTGAACTTCCAGCTGGGGAACGTTTCTGTTATGTATAAAAAGGAAAATAAATTAGAAGGTAAAACACTATGCATCCCAGGAGAAGACTTTGCCGACTTGCGACTTTTTGCTGAACCATTCCACTGGCATCCCAAGTGTTTCATAAGCAGTTGCCCAGGAGAGGGAGTGGGGAAAGGACTATAAAAAATATAAGCAATGTTTCCAATTTAATGAGCTTTAAAAGATAGATTTTAACTTTTGCAACCATATGATCTGGGCTTATAAAACTAGGACTTACAAACAGTGTGTTTATAATCAAAGAAGACACTCCTAGATTACAAAAATCTAATAAGAGTCTCATCATTACAGAACTGGTTTTCCAATGACAAGGTAGCACAAATATCAACATTTCCTCATTTTCACTTTCTGCTCGAGTCTGAAAAACAAATTTGCCTCCCTGTAATGTTCTTGTACACTCACTAAATACCGTATCTCACACCCTCTCCAAATTTTCCCTTAGCAAAGCTAATTAAGAGTGAGGAATCATCTAAATCAATCTCTCCTGGCTTGATTCAAAACTTTTCAAATTCCCAGAGTACCACATTTCTCTCTCATCTCCTTCCCAGCATTCCTTCTGAAGCTTTTGATTTCTTTCACTGTCTTTTATCAGGGTCTCTTCTTGTCCCCCTACATGCCAGATGGGCAGTCATTCTGAAACCAGTGCTGAACCAAAAAGAATAGTAGGGTATTGCAAAAGTGATTTCCCAGGCACTGAAAGTTAGACAGTCTTCATTAGACCTGGGTCTGGAAGCTAATGCCAATACCAAGGTCAGTACCGGCTTTTCTTTTATCAGTGGTAACATGGTGACCACACAAATATTTTTTACTTCCTTTGGGCATGTCCAAATGAGCGCGGCCATGCAGTACGTGGTGCCGCAAACACGTTTGCAGTGCCACATGCTGCACACTGAAGTGTTCTCCACCCTGCAAGGGTGTACTGACTGTGCTGCTCTGTTTTTTGGGGGTTTTTTTCTGTGGGCCCATGATAAAAGAACTGGAGCAGTGCAAGCATGGGCAGCACACACTGCTGAAAAGTGGAGCTGGGCCACCTGGAGCTGTGCTGCGGCTGTCAGCCAGGCTTTGCCTGACAGGATCGCTGTGGCTGCAGCCCCAGGAGGCCCCCAGGACCCCAAGTAAGGCTGCCCCTGGAGTAACTTGCCACAGGGCTGCTCCCAGGGTAACTCCTCTACCACCTCTGGGGTCGCTTGCCATGTGCCAAAGCACGCATGGCACGGGTATTCCCTGGGGACAAGTAGCTGTGTGTTGCTGCTACTTGTCCCTGGGGAACCAAACATCCATACTCATCTGGACATGGCCTTTGTGTCTGTTTCCTCTTTCCTTATTGTCTGGGTATCAACAGGATTTTTCCAATTCAGAGTGTCAGGGTTGTTGGACTACTGCATATTCTACTGAAATAATGCCCACCATTCTGAAATGATACAACAACTTCAGTGTGACAAGCTGTAAGACCACACTCCTCTCAGAAAACAGCTCCTAAATTTTACATTTAAGAGGCACCCACTCTGAAAACAGCCCATAAAAACAAAATGCTTGTTCAGTTGGAATCCATGTATCCAATTCCAATTTTAATACTGCATTGTGGGACTGGAAAACAAATGCAGCTGCCAACATCATCTTGTGTAAGAGTTTATACAAATGAATAAAACCATTTTTGATGCTGCTTTTCAACTTCTCTAGTTCTGCTGCTTAGCTGTATTAGATACCCTTCTCTCCTCCTAATCTTCTTTCTATAAATGACAGCCTCTCATCAGTATGCACATAGAGGACACTAAGTTTTCTATACATCTCCTGAATTCGAAGGTCATGTCCTAGGGACAATGAACCAATACACATTAAGTACATACAAGTGTATTTTTCAGTGCCACACTTTTAATGGCCCTTAGCTGGTGAAGGGTCTATGTCATTACACACTTCTAATGCCAAACAAATACCAATACTTCAGTATAATGATGCTATTGTATTAAATATTTTTTAAAGAAAGGCAAGTTATTATGGGAACAGCTTAAAAATGATCTTGGGAAGAGGCTTATTTCCTACAGCTTTTGTGTTAGTATTAAAAATTACTTCATTGAAGTATATCAAATTAAGTGCTTTATGAAGCATCTCCACATACATGAACAAGCAGAATAAATTTCAAAAACGTAAAGAGCCACACTTCTTTACTTTCTGAAGAATAAAGGACCACAGGGCTCTTTTCAAAGAACACACCCCAAAACACCACCAGCGTCATCTAATTCAGCAGTCATTCTTTATGAGACATGTAGAGCCTACAGCCTGTAACATGTAATGAGTGTCTATAGGAAAAAAGTCATTTTCAGCAGAATAATTAAAATTTACAATAGCCATGCTAACTAGATGGCTGAACAAATGATACACATTCACACAAGAAGACAACTGTCTTAATAAGGATTTACTTTAACAGAACCTTGTATGGGTACACTACACTCAGTCTCATTAGTAAAGGAGTTGGTTGGATTTTTTTTTTAATACAGCACAAGCCAAAAGGCAATCTAAAATAGACTCACAGAAGAATGGAATGGGGAATCAGAAAACGCAACATTTCAGATCCAATCTTCACACACCTTAAACACTTTTTTCTTTTCTTGATGAAAAAGTGAGAGAGAGAGAGAGAGAGAGAGACAGAGAGAGAGAGGCTGTGTGTGCATGTGTGTCTGTGAGAGAGAGAGAGAGAGAGAGAGAGGGACGAGCTAAACAAGTGTTTGCATTTATCATGTTTTTAGCTTCTTTTCTGAGGAAGAATTCTCTGAATCCGTGTCTTCAAACTCCGCTCTGTGCCTTTTCAGTCCTCCTAAAGCTTGAGAGTTCTCACTATCTGTCAGATGCAAGTCAGCGATATCCTCTTTCGTGCTCACACCGTGATTGTTGGAGCCCATTTCAGACAAGCAACACTCTTTGTGAAAAGTCACATCTGCCTGTGCAAGGGTGACCTTATCAGCATTTGAGTACAATTGTAGTCCTTGGGTCACTATCTCCTGCTCTCCAAAGCTCTGTCCATTGTTGAAGCATGAAGGGCGAGGATGTAGGTGGCCATTATTGTGGTTTACACAGGTCTCAAGATTTCTTTCCTCACTGTCATCAGTCTGGTTTCTGGAGCAATTACCAGATCCACTACAGACGGTGGCAATGGAAAACAAATCCTTGGAAGTGACCAGTGAGTGATGGCTTGATGCTGGTTGACAGTTCTGGCTGTTTTTCTGTTCCACAAGTCCTGCAGTTTGGTTGCATGGCTCTTCAGCAAGACTATTTAGCCCTTTGCAGATGGCTTTTCCATTAAGCTTTTTAGTCTCAAAAGAATATTCTACAGACCCACTGCTGGTGTCTTGGGACGTGCTTTCTTGAGTTTCCATTCGCCACTGATTGTCGAATTCATGACCTTGACCATTACTAGAATTTTCTACCAAACCACATTCTTTTAAAGTTTCTTTGCTTTGGCTCTCAGAGAGACCTTGGGAACCTTGAGGAACCAGTGAACTCAAATTACTAGCCTCTTCTTTATTTAGTGTAGGTGGTGCACTGTTTCTTCCACTAGTTCCTGGCTTTCCTTCATCATTCTCCCCATCTCCATGGGAAGATTCACCATCTTTACCAGCTGAATAGGATATATAAGAATAATGAAGCCATCTGTAAGCTCTGTAAATCTTTCTTTCTACAGATTCACTGTCTGAACAAGGAGAGGCCCTTTCTTTGGGAACTTCCTTTTTAATGGAACTCCTTTCAGGTGAGGAGGTTGGAGAAGAGGAAAGGTCATCCACTTTGATCTGTGGGTAATCATAGATATCCTCACCTATGTAGGTGTTCACATTTTCTGTATTTGTGTTAGTCCTCTCTTCCTTTTGTATTTTCTGTCGGCGTCTCATTGCATTACGTTGACGCATCAATGTACGCCGTTCTTTCAATTCCTCTTCACCCTCTGAACTGCTACTGCTGCTGGAACTGCTAGATTCATTCTCTTCAGGACTTGGAGACCTTGGCCGTGGAAAAAGGTCTGTGTCCAGTTCTGCCTCACAGGTATTTTCATCAGAATCAGATTCATTGGAAAGGGCCAGGAGACGTTTGTCCTGATACCTTCTAAGTGCAGACAGCCTCTGCTGACGAGAAGCCACATCTTCTCTGGCCGATGGAGATTCTGTTGATCTTAAGGCTCCTAAGTTATAGGCCGTTTCATCCGATTCTTCTGCCATATGTGGTGGGGTGTGATGTAGTGAAGCAGAAGATTCTGATTCACTATAAGCAGAGCGTTCACTTACTCCAGCATGGAGCTGCAAGATGGTGCTTTCGCTGAGGTCGCTATCCGAGTCAGAACTCCAGCCCTCAATCTCCCGGCGTACCAGTGAATCAAAGAAAGCCATCATCCGTGGATCTTCCTGGACTGACTGGTTGGCATAATCATGAGACAAGCCACTGCCACTGTTCAACACAAGACTAATGTACTCTTCGTGAGTGTAGAGGCACCGTGAATCATCCTCAATTCTGCCATCCAGATCTCCAGTGCAGTCAGGCTGTTTATAAGGACTCCAGATCTGTAAGAAGAAAAAATGAGTTGCTTATAATACAAACTTAATTTTAAATATATTTTTAAAAAAACAGAATAGTAATACAAATACAAATATTATAGCTGCCATATAAAAATCACAGAAAAGTAGGACTGGCAGGGACTTCAGGAGGTCATCTAATCCAATCTCCTGCTCAAGGTAGAATCAACCCCATCTGAAGCAGCCTACATAATCTAAAAGATCACGCTTTAGGTTTAGCCATTTCCCCAGCAAGTATTACATATTATTTTATTTTGAGTACTGGCTCCTTTGATCCCATGCCATGGGTGTTTTTATAATGTATACCCCCCCCCCCCCAACCTTAAAAC